CAATAGAATAGATTAATAAATGTATTGCCTCAAAACTATCAGTGTCTTATGTGAAACAATCATGCAATGATTTTAGGTCGTCAGTCCCCAAGCTTTTGCTTGGCTGTCTCAACTTCGTCACCGGTGGGAAGACACCCAGAAACACTGCTTTGTTAATATCTGTGATGCCCAGTTCCAGTACTTCTATGAATACTTAGGAAACAGTCCTCGACTAGTGATCACTCCTCTGACTGACAGGTAACAATTATAAGTTTGAGTCCGATGGGAGAAACCAAGCGAAGAAAGTCCCCCAGCGTGGGCAGAGATGTGTGAGAATGGAAATGAAGGAATATGAGAAAACAATGAACAAATTGGGAAACTACCTAAAAGCAGTATGTAAATTAACTAACTTTGTAAGACAGTGAATGTTGACTTTTTAGTTTGAGTCAGGGTTAATAGAACTGAATTAGAGAAACAGAATTACAGAAGCTATACAATGTGCTGATGAAAGCCTGAGTGGATTAATATGGCCTGTGGCAGGATTTTTGATCACTGAATCCATTCTGCTAGGTTTTCTAAGGCCAGCGTCCTGCCATCAGGATCTGTCACCACCTCCTCCCACCCCCCGCTGCATCCCTTTATTGGAAATGTGAAAATAACTAGACATTGCCTGTGTTCAAATTCACGTTTGCAGAATTGCATACGGTGCAAGGAAGAGAAGAGGGAGAACATACAATCCATCAAATGATTCAACAAATACTTATAAAGTACTGTGCTAAGTAATATTCCAGTGCTGAACAGACAGGTTTCTTGCTGACACAGAGATCTCTTTCTGTTATAGTTGAGTGTAGCATGTGAGTGGGGATGAACAGAAACAACAAGCAAATAAATTAACAAAGTTATTTTAGGTGGTATACCATTATTATATGCTATAACAAAAATAGGGTGATGTGTTAAAAATCATCTAGAAGGGAGAGTCTGTTATAAATTGGGTGAGAGGGTATTTGATCCATGACCCAGCTGTGCACATCCTGGGGCAGAAAGTCACAGGCAAGAGGAAGCACAAAGTTTCCAAGGTGGACAGGATTTTGACCAGTTCAAGGAATAGAAGGAAGGCCAGTGTGGCTCAAGGATATCAAGGAGGCAAGAGGTTATTGTTATGAAAAGTTCATTGCCACATGACTCCAAGGAAACATATACACAGTCTGAATGCTGTGGAGGTAAGAATATGCCACATGGACATGAATTTCTTTGTTAGGTTTCCAACCTCTGCTGTCTTATTTGATGGGAGAAAGCACATGGAATCTTTGGCATCTCTGAAAGAGAAATCACACGTCAAGATCATGTCGTGTGCCCAGTTATCTACTGCCACCCAAGTATAGGCAGTTTCAAATATAAATCTATAAAGCTGGTTGTTCAGGTAGTCCTGAGAGGTTGGTGGGATTCTCTCACTGGCTTTGTGATTGCTCTTGCACAAATTCATCTGCTTATGATTTCATTATTTGTATGTTGTACAGCTTCTATAATTCTGTTTGTCTAATTCAGTTCTCTTTCACTTGTCTCTAACTAAAAGTCAGTATTCACTGCCTTCATTAGTTAATTTATGTATTGCTTTCAATGTGAGCGATTAAAATTTGTAGCTTGACAAAATCACTTGAGAATAGTCAAAACTGCCAATGTTAAGCGTCTACTAGGTGCACGCCATCGTGAATAGAGAAGAGGGGAAGGGAGGCCCAGGGAATAGGAGAAAAAGGGAAGAGGTGTTTTAAAATTTATCAGTATATGAGAACTGATGGCTTATTAACTTTTTAATTAAAGAAATCACTGTATGGTTTATTTGGAAGTTAAAAAGAAGATGAATGTTCATTTGATAGTGTGAATAGTGTTGTATACTGTGATTACATTGTTTAGACTTCATTTCCATTTCATTCTTTGGATTATTTACTAATTA